ACGTCTGACAGGACGGGGACGGACATGCCTTTGATATCAGCTCCATAAATGCTTCTGTGTGAGCTCCCTTCCTGGCACCAACACAAAGTATTTGTCATCTGAACGCCTGCAGTTTGGATGTAAATACATTCAAATGGCATTGCAGCGCAGGACACGGTGCACAGGTATGGTCCGATCAGGACTCTGTGATGTAAGGCTCTGTCTGTCTGTGACCATAAGAGGTCATCACAGTCACCACACAGGCTCCTATCTAAGGAAATGACATATAAACACAACAGGGTTTGAGCAATGCAGCTAATATCATTTGCATATCAGCAGTGACTTGGACTCGGTCAGAGATGTTCTGCAATGGTGAAAAGCCATAAAAGTTCAGACGGTTCCTCCATTCAACGCGTCTCTAACTGAGAATAAAAATCTACTAATATCTACACACGTTAAACATCAGCTGGCTTTACTTACATCTTGCTCTCTGCGTCTCCCTTGGTGTTTGCTCACCCGCCGATGTCCCCAGCATGAAGGCACACCTGTGTGACTCGTGGCATCCTGCAGGTGAGGAGGCAGAATGAGCAGGAGCATCCAGACAAGCTCAACACTGTCAGACACACTCCTCCTCTCCTCTCTTCTGTTCTCTCTCTCTTTCCTCCCACTCGCTTTTACATTTTACACCCCCACTCTGCTTCAGTCAGTCCTGTTAACCTTTCTCAGACACATTCTCCTCCTCTACCTTTTCCTTCATGCTGTCTCTCTCTCCGTCTGCTGCGTCTGAACTTGTTCACCCGGTGTTTCGCAGCTGAGAGCCACTCTCAGGCCTCCTCTTGTATTTGTAATCAACCTGCTGCTCCTCCGTCCCTGCTCTCCACAGCTCTCTGCTCTCGGGTGTATAATTAGAGACGAGAGTGACTCCTCGACTGGCGGTAGGCGTGCTGCCGGATGGCTCGGCGTTGGGCTCTGCTCAGAAATCTCGGACATGCACGAGCCAGCAACAATGCAAACCAGCACATGGATAAAATCGTTTTTACCTTTTTAGGATAAAACTCAGAGATTGGGCTGTTCTGAGCGGTATATTAAGATCAGCAGTGATGCCAAAACCTGCTGCTGAGGCCTTTCATGGTTGTATAAGGAACATCCTCGGTGGTTTTATCTCACTGAAAAGAAAAGAAAAAAGAAAAGAAAAGAAAGGAGGACATGGCTTTTGCTCCAGCACAGCAACCTTGGTCTCAGCTATTGATTTTGCAGGGCCTCAGCAGGTGAACCCCCAGTCATGAGAAAGCCCACGCACGATTTATTATGTGGTGAAGAGGATTTCTCACATTGACTCACGTAGTGCTTCCTCTGCCCACTCTCTCTCTCTCCATGTCTCTGTGTTTCTTCACTGCTGATGATAAACACACACACACACACACACACACACGGGAAGCTTCAGCGTTTGGCGAAGGGTTGCGTTGCACATTAGGGCTAAACCACAGCAACCAGTGACATTTACAAAGAATGTGTTTTTTTTTTTAATATAATCGCCTGCAACTCCCACCACTTCCCATCTGCTGCGAGTTCAACTTTTCTTTACAGTTTCACTTCACAGCCTGGCACAGTTTCTGTAGTGAACCTTTCCATGGACAGCTTTGTAATGGTTTGCTCTGGTTTTATGAACTAAAACTTTAAAACATTTTTTTTGCACTCCACCAATGTTCAGTCTGGTCATCTGGACGGTTTCTTTTGTTGCTGAGACGTTTCATCCTTCATCCAAAGTACTTCTTCAGTCTGAAAAGCCACCAAACTGAATCCCACAAACAGGACACTCCCAGAGTGGGGGGGGGGAAACAGTTTGCTGGTGATAAGATGGCCTCCAGGGCCTGCCCTCTCCCCGTCAACTCCTCTAAGGCAGACCGTGCCAAAAGGTTCAAAACACCATGGATTAATGAGCATGAACTCTGATTCCTGCTTCTTGCAATGACTCAGCTCTTTCTTCTCAGTCACTGAAATGAAACACTTTTCAGAAGCCTGCTTAATAAAACCCTGATTTGTGGGAAAAAAAGATTATCTAACGCAGCTCCTTAAGAGTAAACCGGAAGTGATACCTGTCATCCACTAGATGGAAGCAAACACACCTGATTCATCCTCACTTTTACTCTTTATTTTATGATTGCTCAGGGTCAGTTTTGAAAACATTTAAACCCCCCCCCCCCCCCCACACACACACACACACACACACACACACGCACACAGTTAGTACACCCTCACACTCAATTAGCAGAGCAGCTCGGATCTTTATCTAAATAAAAGACTTTTGTAAAATCATACACCAATTCAACACACACTGCTCAAATAATCGTGAGGTGAACCTAAAACTCTTTGAGCCTTATCCTGATACATGCTCAATAATCCAGGTAGAAAAATCTAAAAAAGTAAAATCTGGTCCTCTGGACATTAAAAAACAACAACAACAACAACAACAAAAAAGCAAATTATTATTATTATTATTATTTTTAATGTCCAGAGGACCTTCATGGTTACTGTAAGTGAAGAATAAAGATAACGTATAAAATTAAATTCACCGAGTAGGATTTCATAAGACCAATGTTGCAGATTACCATAAAAAATAATCTTTTCGCTAAACTCGTCGGTCATCATGGGAGTCAAACATGTTCCAGTTTTCTTTCAACTCAACAGACATCTGTTCAGACATATACAGCAGTCCCTCGCTACTTCACGGTTTGTTTATCGCGGACTCGCTCTGTCGTGGTTTTATTCAAGTCCTGTACATAATATTTACCAAAAAAAAAAAAAAGTGCTGCCATTTTGTAGTTTTCTTTCATTAATCCTTCACTGTTTTGCCAGTGTAAAGAACTACGTTACCCAGAAGCCATCAGTTTACTTCCTGGAAGTCAACGCTGCTCTTTCAACCACTGCTTTCTGCAAATGGAGGGAAAGTTTTACAGCAAAGTCAGAAGTTAAGTAAGTTCTGTTGCTCACAGGACTGTCAGGAAAGTCACAGATAATCCTGAAGCTGAACTCGTCCTTCAAGTTGTATCTTCACTGCTGAGCAGCTGAACTGCAGCTGATCCAGAATCAGTGTGACCCAGATCCTGGGAGCTGCAGACGACAGACGGCTGCAGGGTTCAGTCAGGTTCTGGTTGCATGGTGCTGATCTTGACTGGGCCAGAGGTGGTGGATCAAATCCTGGGCAGCAGCACATGCACATCAAGCTGGATGGGGCGGTGGGCTTCATCATGCTGCACCGGGACTTTTTCATCTATCAGGTTGGACCGGAACCAGAGCTGTTGCTGTTCTGCAGAGCCCTGGTAAGTAAAATGTTGTAGCTAATTTACATATACATACCTATTAATTTTAGCAACATACAGTACTTAAGGCAGCACGGTGGCGCAACTGGTAGAGCTGCTGCCTCTCAGCGAGCAGGTCCCTGGTTCAAACCCCGGTCCAGGGGCCTTTCTGGGTGGAGTTTGCATGTTCTCTCCGTGCATGCGTGGGTTTTCTACGGGTACTCCGGTTTCCTCCCACAGTCCAAAAACATGCATGTTAGGCTGATTGGTAACTCTAAATTGTCCCTAGGTGTGAGTGAGAGAGTGAATGGTTGTTTGTCTCGTTTGTCTCTATGTGGCCCTGTGATGGACTTGCGACCTGTCCAGGGTGTACCCCGCCCCTCGCACAGTGATTGCTGGACATGGGCACCAGCGACCCCCATGACCCAAAATGGAATAAGCGGGCAAAGAAAATGGATGGATGGATACAGTACTTATATATAAGTACTGTATGTTGCTGATTTGTGAGCTTCTCTGCAGGACAGGTGTGCAGAAATGAAGCGAGTTGGAATAAAACAGAGTTGGACCGGAACCAGAGCTGTTGCTGTTCTGCAGTTCTGTTAAAACTGACCACATTTACTCACTCTGCTACTGTCTTTGCTTACTCTGCTCAATCTGTTTTGTATTTGTAATTATTTTTTCTATCTTAACATGTTTTTGTCTTTCAGGTACACCTGGACCTATATCTGGACCTACCATTCTGTGTTCATCCGTCTCTTCTTCCTGTCCTCTCAAACCAGCCGGTCAAAGCAGATGGCTGCTTGTCCTGAGCCTGGTTCTGCTGGAGGTTTCTTCCTTTTAAAAGGGAGTTTTTCCTTTCCACTGTTGCCACTGTGCTCGCTCAGGATGGGAGACTGCAACAAAGCCAAGATTCAACTTGTCTGTGCCTCCTTAGATAGAGAACTTTACTAATTTGCTTTTCTATGTATGTGAATGTTCTTGTAAAGTGCCCTGAGACAACTTTGTTGTGACTTGGCGCTATATAAATAAACTGAATTGAAAATTAAAATGACGTAGGTTTAAGCGTTTAGAACATTCTGGCGGGAAGGGTTTCTAAAGCCTTAATATAAAGTTTAATGTATTTGAACTTGGATTACTTAAACCTACCTCGTGGTTTTTCACTTAATTCCGGGGCTTCAGGGTACAGACCCCTGTGATAAACAAGGGACTACTGTACTATAAAAAATATCAAATCCAACAGAATACTGTTTCAGTCTGGATAACATCTGATCAACTTCAGAGGACATTTCTTCATTTACAGGACAGTCGCTGCATCTTAATAGTTCTTATGTCTAATAGATGTGTTTAACTATCATTTAAAAAGTCAGTGCTTTGAAATGACTTAAGAGGAGATATTATTATATTTTTTGTGTCTAAAGCAGATAAATGAGTTCAGTGTTTTGTAAAATGTGTGATGCACCCTGAATTGGAACAGAGAAGTGATTTAAATCTCCAAAAATCCCTGATCTCAGAAGAAGGGGTCAGAGGAGGAAGTGACAAGTGAAGGCAGCTGAAAATAACCCAGGCATGTGTCCGTCCCTGCTGGTATTTTCCACTTCATTAAATAAATCCCTTCTTCCCTCCTCTTGTTCCTCCTTTGCTCTCCTCCCTCCCCCTCCTCTCATTGGTCAGCTGCTCGACTCCACAGAACTTATTCAGGCTCTCATGTGAGCAGCTCAGTCTGCAGCAGCAGCAGGGTGGTGTTCAGCATCAGTCGCTTTGAGCCTGTCGGAGCCACCAGAGGAGGTGGGAGATGTTCATGTTTACTGAACTCCTACACAGCTGAGCAGCCTCACCTCCCCCTCATCATCTCTGACTGATGCTGCTTGTTTCTGACAACCTCCCAGCACCATGAGCTCCTCATCAGCCAAGCTCCACAGCCAGCGGCGACCCTGTAAGTGACTTCCACACGTCTCAGCAGAATCAACATATTTCTTTATAGTTCTTTAGTTTGTGGCTAAAATTCCTTTGTAGTTGTATTGTGTTGCAAAACTTGTGTATGTGTGTATCATGAAGAGCTTTAATGCCGACTGAACTGAGAGAGCCCAAAATTAGATAGGAATGTTGACTCATCCCCCTGAGTCATGTTGACCCCAGATCGTGTTAACCGGACAAGCAGGTCCCACCCTCCCCAGGAACACTCATACACCCACCACCCAGCACACACACATGAAGTTTGGAGTCAGCTCCAGACAGATATCTCCTGTTTCTGATGGCATTGTGACTGTAGTTCTCATCAGAATTGACTAATTCCACCCAGGAATTGCAACTTATTCCAGAAAAACACAAACCCAGAAGTCAAAATTATCCTTAGTGATTTTTTGTAGGGGCTTAGAATGACTCCAGGTGGGACACCTCCCATCTGTTGCTGTGATCATGGAGTCTGCTCTGTCACATTCTGGCAATGTGAGCTGCTGTGCTGTGCTGTGGAGGGAAGGACCATCCAGATGTTGTGAGTGTATCGAGTTGAGAGGGCGATGAAGGAACTGTTTCTGCCCTTGATATTTCTCTGCTCAGTCCCATTAGACACGACCCAGATAATAATGAGGAAGTAGCTGCTGCTTCGTGAGGAATTGGTGGGAGATGAAAAAAAAAGTACAGTTTACAGTCTGTACTGTATCTTTATTAGATCACATTTAAGAAATGTATGTCATGCCGACTGCTGTATTTGCTGAAACACAGACGACAACCTGAAGTCTGAACTGAGGAGGAAACAAGTTGAACCAAAGGGGTCACTTTGACGAAACGAGCCGTTGTCTTCACGTTTTCCTGAAAACTCACAAGTGTTGTGTTCAGACTGTTTGGTGATTGAGTGCTTGTACACACTGATGTAGTATAGCATGGTTTAAGGAGTTGTAGTAGCCTCCATCAACATAACCCTTACAGTAATAAACAGCTGAGAAAAATGGAAATGTGATCTAGGTTTGGCAGTCAGGGTTAGGTTTACCCAAGTCCTGCAGCAAACCACAGATTACCACAAAGATTCCTGGGATGAATACATGTCACCAGCACTTTGAATGTCTTGATTTTAGGCCTGTGTTATGGATAACCCTCAGCTACTATAGCACCAATATACATCCCGTGATTACTTTTTTAAGACAAATGTTTAATTACACACAGGACATTGGGCGATCATTATATGAGACAGTGAAGCTAAGAATCATCCTTTGATAGTAGCCACCGCTGATAATGACAGATACTAGTACAGTTTGCTGTAGTTTTCAGTCTGTCGACAAATAGATGCCTTGGGAGTCTACCAAGAAATATTTTCATGACATCTTGTCAGTAACACGTGGTGGTTGAATAGACTAGTCGACAAGTCGATTCTAGGACATCTCGTGAGTTTTAAAAATTCCCGCCGACTAGTCGCAGTCAGTGATTGTGTCACGTGTCACGTGATCATCACCGAGCCGCTGGCAACAAAACGGATTCTTCCAAGCAGATGGAAGGCGAGGAGCAGGCCAAACAGGTCGAAATTCATCAACAGTGTGGAAGAATTTCACTAAATGTATTTCACTCTTCTGGTGGATTCTACCACTGCCTGCCCTGCTGTTTTATGTTATTTTATTTAATCCACTGGTGGGATCCCACCACAGCCACCACCGCCGTGGTGGTTTATTTTATTTAGTGGATTAAATAACATAAAACACACTTTTGCAGCTTAATAATAGTTTTGGTTTTCCTGTGACTTATTTGCAGTATGATAAATGGTAGGAGCATAAATACATGCTCCCAATGTTTTTTTGTAAATAATATGATGTTTTATTGTGAATAGCGTCTTGAGTTCCTGTGACGTCACATCGACTTTTATCATGTTGAAGTCTACTTTGAAAAATATGCAATCGTGCAACCCCTAGAGTGTGGAGGGGAAGGACCCAAATGGAGACAGCAGATAGATTTATTTTAATTACTGTAGCAAGGAATGTCTCAAACAGAGCTGGTCAAATCCGAGGACAAGTCCAGGGCAAGACTGGGAACAATGGGAGCCTGATTCAAAATGGGACGCAACATTGAGAGGGAGGCAAACATTAACAAAAATTAAACTGTTTTTATAAATCTTGGTTTGATCCAAGCAAAATACTAACTAACTGGAAGACACAGATGGACCAAACATAGCAGCTTGACAGCACAACACAGACAGTGAACAATAAAAAGGCACAAGCTTTAAAGAGAAACTCGTGAGGGAGAAAAGACAACACCTGGGGAGAGTCGATGAGGATCAGGTGAGACTGGGAGGGGCAGGATCTGAAGGAGGGGAAAAACACAAGTTAAACAAAATACCAGAATCACAGAAATACTTCTAAAAAAAAACACGGATCATGACAGAATTCAGCTGCTGCTATAATGTCACGCCAGTTTTAAAATGACGACAGCTCTGTTTGGCTGGAGGAGCAGAGTGTCGCTGCTTTTAAAGACCAAATTAAGGAGTTTGAATGAAGCCAACAAATACTGGCCTTTTCTCTGAGAATGGCTTCTTCTATTAAAAAATAATGGCTAAAAAATAATTAAAGCAACAGTAAAATAAAAGCAAAAATGGAAAATAATAGCTTGACATAAACTCCTGATAACTCTCCTACAAACAGCGCCTGGTGGGAGGTGAGCGCCAGCAGCTAATTAAATCACTGTGTGCCATCGTACCTAACAGGCAGAAACAGTTTAATAAGACTCACATTAATTGAACCGTTTAAATGATGCGGTCCTCTGGACACAGACCGGCTCCTCTCATTAACTCACAAACACTTCTGCTGCTGAGAGCACAAAACAGAGGCAGCAGGACTCTTCACATCATCAGTCCCCTTCAGATGTTAAACACATTCACCTGTTTGGTCAGGTAATGACTTGAACACAGGAAATACACGCTTTTCACTCTAAAACAGTCTCACATGCTTGTAAGTGGTTGGACCACTTTCACATTACGTAATTGTATTCGGATCCTTTGAGTGCATTTATTTTACAAGGACCACCCAAGGTCTTGTCCCAGTTGGACTTGCCAGGAACTCCTTCTTAGAGGGGCATCCAGGGGTCGTCCTTACCCAACGCCCGATCCACCTCATCTGGTTCTTGTTGTTGTGGAGGAGCAGCGACTCCACCCAGAGTCCCTCCTCGATACCTGAACTTCAGAGAAAAGTCAGTTTGACCGCTTGTGTCCCAGTTCTTGTTCTTCTGGTCGCTAAAGAAACTTCTGTCCACAAACGATATGATCAGAGGCGATGGTGGACTCCATCTGTCATCCTGAAGGGGTTCGACTTACTGTTTGCAATGTGAACCAGATTGCACCATTTGTTAATGCACCGAGCAGCTCGTAGCAACGGACCCCCAGTCCCATACCCACAGAGCACCCCCTCAGGGACCAGAGTCCAATGAAAGGAGAGTAAACACTGAAGTAACTGCTGTCAGGCTCGTGATTTTTCTTGTCAGTGAAGGGAAAGTCATAATATACAATAATAAGAAGAACGTGTATAAAACAATGTTAATCTGCAACCTGTGAGTTTAAAGCAGCTCTGAACTTTCCAACCTCAGTTTCAACAACCAGATAAAAATGTGACGTTGTTTCACCCAAACATTCTTCACATTCTCCACGTGATGAGAATGACTTTAAACATGAGCACAAATACAAGAGAAGTCAACAAGAATACGCCCTGCACCGTGGAAGTGACTGACACGAGATTCATGCATCAACATGAGGCTTTAAGAACCGTTTGGACTTCAGTCTCAGACGGGTTTAGGGGGATTTACTCTTCAACTATTACTCTAAAAGCAATTTGTTTCTCTTTAAATAAGCAGATTCAACTAAATAATGTTAATATAAAACCGATGTCACTGGCAGAGCATTGAATTTTATTGTCTGGTTAACTTGCTTGAATACTCGAAAATCCTCTTCTGATGTTCAGCAGGAGCCATTCTATGTGAGAGGACTAAACAGTTTGAGAAATAAAACTATTTACTCATCTGTTAAAGGCATTGTGTGTCAATCAGAACTCCAGACAGTCTGTTGAGGGCAGAGGGACAGAACAATGGTCCAGAAACAGGGTTAACACTGATGTAACTGATGTCAGACGGTGCTGGTCACAGCTTTGTCCCAACAAAAACAGCCTGATTTAATATTCACATAAACACACATGCATGCACGGACTGACTAACGCACCACAGTTAATTAGTCTGCACACTGAGTCTAATAAACATCAACTTTGGGGATAAATGAGAGAACACAACTTGTGTTTTAGTCAGATATAAAACTGCAGCAGATGTAATATTATAGGTGTCATCAGTATGTGCTGTCCAGGATGTCAAGTTATTTTTTATTTCAATGCTTGATGCGAGCACTGATTTGTGGTTCAGACACAGTTTCTGCATCCTGTCTCACACGTTGTTGTCCCAGCCGGGCACCTGTCCACCTGAAACCTTTCTTATCTAGAAACATGCAAGTTTTACCTGGAGTGTTAAGAAGACAGCAACACCTGCTGACTCAGAGACAGAAGGAGACCGTGTCAAATCCACTTGTTGCATTTTAGCACCGAGGAAACAAGACAGAGAGGATGGAGAACAGTCAGTGTTGCTGTGCAGATGAATTCATTTTTTTAATGAATTTTTAACCGAGCGAATTAGATTTTCAGATAATCGGCACGTGAATGAGACAACACACTGTCAGGAGAAGAATCCAGAATAAAAACCCAGAAACTGAAGGGTGTATGTAAAAATAATGCTTTATTCTAAAAGTGAATCAAGCAGGAAGAAATTCAAAGAAGAGAGCTGAAGCTCACAGAAGAACCTGAGATCAGAATCAAGTGACAAAACAAGAGAAACATAAAGAACCTGGGGCCATAAATACTTTGTACACAGAAGGATAATGTACGGTGGCCCTGAGGTATAAATGAACATTTGAAAAAACGGAAT